AGGGCAAGTCTCATTTAAGAATGGGGAAGCTATAGAGCTCCCATGGCCATTGGCGCAGCCGCCTACCAGCCCAGTCCCACTCCACCACCCATAGCGCCCTCTCCCCAACTTCGGCAAGATTTTGATGAATTTTTTCTTCATTTTTCCATCTTCCCCGTCATCTCCGACGAGGTGGCTCAGCCCTCCTCCTCGTCCCCGTCCATGAGCAAATCACAACCGCACGCGGAGGAGCACTTACAGGGCAAAAAGTTCATGTAAAGGAGAAACCGACAAAGAGAAACAAGGTCGCCAGCCACCATCACTGATTTCAATGAATCGTTGCCTTTCGAACCGCGTTATTGTGCCACTAGGAGAAGGAAGATGAGAAGAACCATTTAGACGAAGAAGTGCCCAAAACCGTGGCCCATGGAGAACAAATATTGCCTACATCCACTCCTTCGTCACGTGTATACATTGCGCACGGTGAGGAACTATCAAATTGCTTTTGCAGATCATCTATCTTAGATCATAGCTAGCTCATATACATCATCAAGTGATGAGAAGGCATCCAGGAGGTCGGTCGGCCGCAGAAGCCAGGGGTAGATGTCGCGATGGCAGACAAGTTGTTCGATCAAATGCCTTGAAGGAATAGGGCTGTGTGTGAGAGAGAGTAGTGTTAATGGAGGGTGAGCCCACGTCCAACTTAACGGTGGAACAAACGGTATTTGACCATTTTATGCCACATCAACACTTACTACGAGCCCTTTCTGTCGGAAACATGTTTAATTCACTCCAAACGGCTCACTAGTGTTAGCTGCCAAAAATTATGTTGGAATAGATACAATTTTGTAGCGGTGGAGTAAAGTGGTTGCGAGTTAAAACCCTAGACATAGATGTGATTGTTTTATGATATTCACCCTTTTTTAGGAAATACCAGTATGGCGGTAATATATTAACTTGGCATAACAATTACAGGAATTAAGAAGCTAGAGGGTCTCCATGACTCCATCCCATGACCCTCACCATGCTTAGCTAAAGCACGTGCTGCTCTTTTAGCCTCTCTATAAGACGATGCTTAGATATCTCACGTGTGAAATTGATAGATAGATACAAGTACTCATGATTGCCGTACTGGTGGTGACGGTGCACCGATGGCGAATCGTGAACATTGCGTAAGTAGGCCGGTCGACTGAGTCACACGCTGTGCACGCCCGCGCGTATGTGTAGCCTCATATGGCTTCCTATCCATGCCCATGAGAGCAATATGACGCGCAGAAACTGTGCAGTTGTGTCCGAACCTGATTTTTGTATGGATCACGACCACACACATAAAATATTTTGCAGTGACCCTACACTCCTGGACTCATACTAAAAAAGGATAAAAAGCCATGAAAACAACCTAAACATGAGATTTACAGAATTCTACTACCGGAAGGAGGGAAGCATAACCGGAAGGAGGGAAGCATCGTTGAAGGCTATATGGCCGAAAAGGTCATTGAGTTCTGCCGATAGGAGAGCCTCGATACATCCATGAGGTTAGATTTCATGGTTTTGCGACGATCGGAATGATCAAGATCACTCCAAGTTTGACAAATTTGAATTGGCCCTTTTACCATCTTATCTTGAAAGATATGCAGTCATTAGTTCCTTGTATGCAATAACACCTACATTGTTTGCATGCACAACATCCAGGAAGCCAATCTGTTGTGAAACCGCACGATTCCTTGTTCTGCGGCTGGTTCATTGAACGCCTATGTGATGCCCTCAAACTCGCGACAATATCAAGGGTACCAAATCAAATGGGTACATGAGTTTGCTATGAAACAAAAAGATGGTAAATCATAGACATAGAACTCAATGCTCTCGAAGAAAATAACAAAAAACTTCATTTTTACATTAGTATACCATAAGAAAGCAAATGGCTGCTATGCCTTTTGAACTAGGCAAAATCAGTGGTATAGAAGGATAACTCCCATGAATTTCTATGTAAAATTATGGTAAAAAATTGTGCCATATATATAGTTTCAAATAAATAAATAAGTTTTTAATTAATTAGCATATTAAAAGTAGACATGTGAGTATATGATGGATTAGCGGATAGACATGTAGACCACACTAGCCACGGAGACGAGGGTGTCCTAATCCAAACAATGTTCTTCGTCACGGAAATTGATAATGCTATACGCACAGGCAAAGACTACGGACCTTCACAGACCACGCTGCATGCCTTACTCTAATCCCCCCGAGAGGTCGCATCACTTAACCAAATCCCGGCCAATGAAATTCTAACCACGCCGTACTCCCCTGTAAACCCCCCGTATGTCTAGCATTGCTTCATGAAAATATATAGTCTACCGAAGAGGGAGTAGGTGAAATTTGTCAAGAAAAAAAAATGTTGCGATGACGCCACACTCGTGGACTCATACTAAGAGCATCTCCAGTGGCGCCCCAACAGGCTTTCCCCAGGCGTTTTATCCGCGCCGGCGTCGAAAAAACGGCCCGGTCGCGCCCCCAGAAGCCCATTTTTCGCCGGCTCGGGGCAAAACTGGTGCCGGCGGACCCAGGCCGAACCCGGCTTCCTGGGGG